GGTAGCCCATCATCATATTGCTGTCCTGTGGCATGGGCACCTAAGGATTTTCTTGTCTTTAATCCTCAGTAACTTTAACTTCTTACTGGAATGGCAGGGCAGAGGCTCCTGACTCCTTTAGACATATTCTAAACTAAGGCCTCATGAAGAAATCATTTTCCCAAGGTCACAAATCTAACAATGTTGCAGAATTGTCAGCATTTCTGGTGCATTCCACTGCACATAGAAATGCTCATTCTCCTCATGTTTCTTAATATATAATATCCCAGGCAGGCAGGGTCCATGACTTCTGCTGCCAGTTCTGCAGTTGGTGGATTTATTAGTTAGTGCCTGACTTTGGAAATCCTATTGAGACCTGTGGCCTAAGACAGTGTGGGAAGTGGTGATTCTGACTCAGTGTCAGTGCCCAGGTGGCCCTCAGCTGTCACTTTAGGATGTGCAAAGCTGCTCAATACAGAGTGATCTAGGGAAGAAAGCAAAAAGAAAAAGAGGGAAAGGGGAAAAGGGGATGGGAGTAGAGCCTGAGAAGGAAGTAAGAAGAAGGGATGAGAGAGAGAAAAGAGAGAGAGGAGAGAGAACAACAGAAGGGAGAGAGAGAAGAGGGTGAAGGAGGAAGGGGAAGGGGAAGAGGAGGAGAAGGGGGAGGGACAAGTAGAGGGGTGAGGGAGGGAAAGACAGAAGTAGGGAAGGGATGAGAGGGAGGCAGAGCAAGAGGCTTTCAGCTGCTCTAGAATAAGCAATGGCAGCCTTCCTGCCCATGAGGCAGCCGTGTTATTTGTGGCTTTGAACTCCTCAGGACAGTGTGCTTTATCATCTGGAATAATAAACGCAGACCTGGTGGCCCGAGGAGCAAGGCTGGCCAAGGGCAGCCTCCCTGAGCATTGGGCAGAGGAGCCCCGAGGGTGTCCTGGGACCCTGGGACCAGGAGGGCCCTCAGCCGATGCTGAGCAAGTGTTTCAATGTAAACAAAGTCTCTGGGGCCAGCGGGATCCTCCTGTAGGTGGTAACTCTGACATGAGGTGGGCCCTAGAAAGAGCTTAGTGTTTTTAGCTCTCCAGTTGCTTTGAAAGAAAGACAGACAGTCACAGTGTGGAATTTATTATTTGGGGGACATGATAGCTAACAGCTCCAAAAACACTCTGAGTGTGCTCCACAGCTCCTCTAGGAGCACATCTCCAAGGCAGAGAAAGGAGAAACTCCAAATGGACCAGAGCGCTGCTGGGACACAGGGCATTGCGAGACATCTCCCTGTCACTCCCCTCCGGGCCAGGGATCACCGCTCATGTTTTGGACCCTTCCAGGGTCAACCTTTTCTTGATGTCTGAAAAGCCTTCTGGATTGGTCAGGCCTAAGTGGAAGTCCTGATCATCTAGGCCACTAAGAGAACACAGACATACCATGGATGTGGAGTCAGTGCCAGACTCGACTTGGCTGATTGCTTGCTGTGGTCTCAGAATTGCCATGTGACTACCACAAGCCAGGCGATGCTCCTGCTCATGGAGCAGTGCAGCTCCTCCTCCTGCTCCTTGCCGTACAAGCTCGGGGACACCATCCCTAGGCACCATGCCTCTCTCCCGTGCACAGCCTGCGCTCTTTCCTACTGGTGTGCTCTTAAAACTTGTGTGGGGTTCCAGTCTACCCACCTCAGGTTTGTCACACACAACAAGTCCTTCCCTGTGGCACATAGCCCAATACTGTCCTGCCACTGCACTCTGTCTGGGGGACAGGTGACAGTGGACTCCGTGAGAGCTAGCTTGTGGCCACAATCTCACCCCATGGCTATCACAGGTATTAGAACTGAGCACTTCTTAGATGATACAATTATGAATGTATCTACAAAGATCCCTTCTCTTTCTACTTTGCAGGGTTATTGGGATGTTTCAAATAATGCAAAACATTTACTGAAAGGGAAAGGTTGTGTGCATTTGAGGAATGGTCATTACAAGGAGATGATCCCCAAACAGAAGCTAAAGGGGCAGGAAGCCAAAGCAAGAACCCCTCCTTCCTCCTTCCCCTTCCTTTTCTTCCTGGGCACCTGCTTAAGTGTTCGGCATTTCCTAAGGCCTAGAGAAATACTAAGGAATATGACAGACAGGGTCACTCACCCCCGTGAAGCATTCATTCTGTTAAAAAGCCAAAGCAAATGAACAGTGCCGGTTTTCTTAGTAAATAGAGAGGAGGGGCAGAAGTTGTGCATGATGGGAAAAGGTCTTCGGGCCTGAGCAGCACTTGCTGCACCTTTACATTCTCCACTCCCAGTAGGGATGTCGGTGCCTATCTCTGGGCAGCCATAGGACTTGGTAAACTCAAAAGCTTGCCTTACGGCTTCCTAGGAACTGACCTCCTGAGGAAGAAACAGCAACAAAGGTGCTTCTGTGGCTCCTGAGGGGAGGGAAGAGCCTGTCTGTGTGACACAGAGCAGGGTCCTCTCCCAGCCAAGGGCCAGAGCCCCAGGGAAACCACTTTTCTTTGAGGTGCTCTGCATGGATCTAGAACTCTGCCCAGGCCCTGCTGAGAGCACAGCTCACTATGCTTGGCTGACACCCTGCCTGGCACCCAGCTAGTTCCAACTCCAGTCTAATCAGAGCTAGCCCCATCACCCCTCCTCTTTTGGGTCCATTTTCCACCCCTAAAAAGAGGGGGCTGAACAAGCAAATCCCCTTCAGTGCCCTTTAGCATTGACATGCTCTGATTTGGGTTTGGCAACGATTTTTCAGTGCGAATGTTTTGCCTCTTCAACTAATGAGCTCCAATTAGTTTTACTGGTTGCTCTGAACTGAACATTCTGAGACAAAATTCCACATCCTTGCATATTTTACTTCATGGTGGAGTAGATAGTGTACTTGGTATTCTCAAGGTCATGGCAACACAACATTGTTCCCATAAGGACTTGGTGGTCCTCAGCAGAGAAAGAATTGCTTCAGCTCTACCCAGGTCTCAGAGCTGGTGGTGGTGCATTTTGCAGCAATGATTGATTGATGACTGATTGATGGTCATGTCCAAGTGTGTCACATGCTTCTTCTAGGATCAGGCTGAAAGTTCAAAGTCTTTCCTAACCTCTACCACACAAGGCATCACTCATTGTTCTGCTCTTTCCTTCAGGTTTGGACATTTTCTTTACGTTTTGCTCATTTCCTTTTATAATGTTTACACTAGCTACTTCTGTGAGTCCCAGACTTCATATACGTTGTACCTTGAAGAACGAGCACAGCTCTTCCAGATTTATAGCTTCAGAGAACTGTAAGCAGAGGGGTCCTGTCCTCAGCTCCACATTGCAATGTCCAAAGGCAGTGGTGGCGCTGTGCCTCCAACTCAGGCAGCTCTGATGCCCAGGCCCATAAACTGCAACTCCATACCTCCGCATGTGAATTAGGTTCTTACCTGAGAGTGAGGTAATAATTTAGGAGCTCAGAGCAAGCTCAATCCATCCACAAGTTGCCTTTGTTAAATTTTTGGGAAATTTATTTAGCAAATTGCTACTTCGTGGTTTTCAGATTTGGGGGTGATCCTTGTATGTAGTTTCTCTTACTTGACATTCAGTGATTCCACATCTGTACGATACAGGTGGACTAGAACCATTTTCTGAGAAGCAAAACTGGTAGAGGTTGAGGGTAGAGTTTGGTGTTTGAATTCCCCAGAGTTTTCTCTCCTGCCTTCTGGTTCACCCCATGTGCAGTGCAAAGGACAAGAAACCAAACACTGAAGTTATCAATGGCTGAGCAAAAGCACAGAACTCTGCACTTCAAAGCAGTGGTGAAGGTTATGTTGAGGAAAGTAGCCTAGATGGAAGTATGTGCCTACCTTACCTCCTGGATCTCCACTTGAATCTACAACTTCAGATCTGCAAAGGGAGATGCTTGGTGGTGCAGCAGACAGCACAATCCCTGAAATATCACAGGAATGAGGATGGTTTCCTTACAGGTTACATGGAAGGGTTAAGTGATCGATGTCTCCCCAGCAGAAGTTCACTTGGGGCAGATAGGGAGCAGCCAACAGCCCACCATGATGGAGAGAGAAGGGAGAGAGAGGAGAGGAGGGGAGAGAGAGTATTGCTCTTTTTCATGCCTCAGAAAGTGGAGTAGAATGTTTTTATAGCCACATGGAACACACCCATGCAGTGTCATTGTCCACTTACTGTCCAGGGTCCAGGAATGTCAGGATCTATCTAACTGGGTAGACCACTTCTCCTCTTGGGAGAATCTGTGAAAGGCAGAGACACTGAATAAAAGGGACATTCTTCCTCTGTGGCCCAAGGCTACAGCATGGGGAGAGGGAAGACAGAGATAGTCTTCTCAACATCATCCTTCTTTAAGCACCACTGTGGGACTGAGAGAGACCCCAGTGTCATGGAGGAGGTGCCATCCATCCTATCACTTCCTGAGGGCTTCCCATGTCTTCGCTTTTTCTGGAGAGCAAAGCTGACCTGACCCCTGTCCACACGAGGCTGGCATTCTATCTAGGAAGCCAGCCAGAAACTCTACCAAGGAGGTGGAGAAAGATAATAATGAAAAACTGCAAAAAGTGGTAAGAAGGTAACAGACAAGGGACAGAAACAAAATAATGACAGGAGAAACCAGACCCTATAGGATGGTCAAGCAGAATCTCTCTGGGGAGGTAACATGTAAGAAAATCACATACACATTACAAAGTTTAAGTTGTGAGACAGCTTTTAAGATATTCTGAGAGCACAGGGAGGAAATAATGACTTCTCTGGCTTGGAAACGAAGCCACTTTGCTCGAAGTCATGCGGTAGATTACAGGGAAGCCAGAAGAGAATCTGGGGCCAAAAGTGTTCCTTTAACTTAATGTCTGTATCTTGCTGTCTTTATTCTTGTGTCTTGGGTTTCTTTCTTTGGATTAGATTGTCTGGTGGGGGAGATCTGCCTCCAAAGAGTCACTCTTTATAACTTGGAAGAAGAATCAAAGGTCATCAAAAAGAAAACGTGTCACACTAAAAGTTTCTTTTAAAAAGACAATGAAAAATTACATTACATTATAGGTTTAAGCTTCAAGGACTTCTTGCTCATCAATGGGTTTATCTTCTCCCAAGACTTGTTGTGAGACTGAGACCAGATGGAAAACACTTTGCAAATTGCAAAGCCATGTACACATGCTAGAAATTATCAGACACCTGACAAGCACACACGGTGTGAGGATCTTTACCTTTAGAAAACCACTATTCCCGTTCTTTTGTTCTTCTGAGAATTGGAAACAAAAGTGGCTTGGTTCTGAAGTGGCGGGAGCTCTTACAAAACACTGTCTTCTTGCTCTCCTTTTATCTCTTCCAGGGACAATCAGCTGCCAGCAATGTGTCACTCCAAGCAGCCCTCCACATTTCATGGAACATCTGATTTGGATAAAACTGAAATTATTACCACACCAGTCTCTGCACACTTTTTTCCTCTTCTCTTTTCCAAGAACAGCAGTAACCAAGCTTGACAAACTACTGACTTCTACCAAAGTGATTTTGATGCCTTTTAGACGTCAGAGCCAAGTGGATAAGAAAGGCTAAAAGCATGGAGGAGACTCAGAGAAGTTTTTTGCAGTTTCATACCTACAGCTGCCTTCCTCCAGGCAGTCTCCCCAGGTTGACTAGCAGCAAATGAGGACTACTTGCTGTCACCTGAGTGCAGGAAGCAACTTGCATTTATTTTTTATTTTATGTAGTTATTTGTTTGCTTATTTATTGCTTTGTTTCCTCAGTCAACAATAAGGCTCAGTTCTAGAGGTTGGAGTTATAATAAGTCCTATAACCCAGTGACTTTGAGGGAGTACCAGACAAACAATTTAGCAAATAGTAATGGCATATAAGAAAATAGGATGTGAAATGAAATACTATTTGGCTTGTTCCTATAAAGGAAGTAGGGGAGCTAGCTTCTTGTTGGAGGGTTCAGGGAAGGAGCTTTAATTTTAAATTTGGGGAAAGTGGTATTTGAGTTTGTCCTTTACAGACTGTGAGGATCTTACAGGTGGAGCTGGGTAGCAAGTAGATGGCGATGGGCATGGGAACATTTACATCATCAAAACACTGGTTGTCCACAGTTCAGGTGCAGGCAAAACAGAAACTAAAGCAGAAAGCATATAACGGTAATCCAGATGTCTGGCACAGCCTGTATACAACAAGGGAAGCAAGTAATTACAATAAATGGAAAGAGCATTTGCAATTGGGAGAGGCTGAATTCAAAATTAGGTCCAGGTTACCCCATTCAGTGTGTAATTTTGAACATTTTTACCTCTCTGTGTTTAGTGTTGCTCATTTACTGTGAGCATAATAAAGCCTATCGTTCAGAGTGGAGCTTCACGTGCTAATGCATATGAAGCGGGTGGGAAGGTGTTAGGCTCAAGCTCACTGCCTAGTGCATTTCAAAGCCTTGTTTAGCTCTTTTGGCAAAATGCTGGAAGCTATCCAGGTGGGAACCTGCACAAGTCTGGTCGATGCTGGCTTTGGTATCAATTTGAGTAGTATGCCTAATCTTTTCCATGGTGTTCTTTGGTATGTTTATCAATCTTTCTGAGCTTCTGTTTCCTTGTTTAGATGTCAGGATTGTTGTTTAGGTAGAAACTTACTCTTCTATTCATCCCACACCCCTACCTTGATGTGTAGGGAAAGGAATTTATATTCTGTTTCCCTCTCAGTGACAAGTGGAACACATTCAGACTCTTAGCATTTTCAGAACAGATTTATTTCCAGGAGGAAAAGAGTATCTAATGCAATAGGTACCAGTGAGAGTCATACTCTAACCCCTCACTTGTGGGAGGAGTCACTGCCTTGGACAGTGAGCCCCATCTTCTGATCTGTATTCTAGCTTTTCTATCTGTAACTGGGCAGCTGCTAGCCGGGCTGGCACATCCCAGGTAGATTAAAGCTTAAACCACTTTCAGATGGAAAACTAGGTAATGTTCTCTGCAAAGAGTTAACCCATGCCTCTGTGATTTTGAATTACAGGATACAGCATGTTACCAAATTAGCCATGATTTTTTGTATCTTCTTCCATTGAGAGGTGAAATCAATTTCTCTGCCTCTGTAATCTGGCCTTGTGACTTGCTTTGGGCAAATAGGGGAGGAAAAATGATTGTATGAGTCCTGACCCTAGACCTGAAGAGAGTTTACCTTCTCTTATTCTTTGCCTTTTGAAGCACTGTGACCTGCATGTGAACAGCCTAGGCCAGTGGTAGACACCTATGGCACACATGCCACTATGGCTGTTTGTATTGTTGAAAGCTCTAAATGGTTCACCATTACTGGCCAAGGCTAACCTGAATGAAGAGAGATCACATGGAGAGCAGTCCCAGCCATCTTGCCAGCTTAGCCAAGGCCTCATGGACTAGCTAATCCCTTGAGAGTCCACAAGCTGGTATTCAACCAACATCAGCTGAGCCCAGCCCATGCCAGCAGAGCTGTTCCTCTGGCCTGCAGATTTGTGAGCAGTGCTAGATGGTTATGACTTTAAGTTCTTGAGTTCTGGGGTGATTTATTAAGTTATAAAACCTAACTAATACACATGATGATGACAGAAATGTAAAAATTGGTGCTTGCTTCCTATTTGGCTGCTGATCTTTGTGTGATGGGCCATTCCTACTCCAGATGTAAAGGGGATGGGAATACAGTTCCCTGAACCGCTCTCAGAATGACAGCTTCCTCCTAGGAGTGCCACCAGCCTAAGAGGGTACTGGAGTAGGCACCAAAGTTATGAGCAGTATGACTCTAGCTCACCCATCTTGGCCAATGAAATATGTTCTTTGAGGCTAATGGTGCCCCTGGATTTCTGCATGCAGGTGGTCCTTAGGATTAAGCAAGACAAAGTCTGTAAATTTTCTGGCAAAAGTTGAGGCAAAATAAACCTTGTTTTTATAATGACTTCTCAGTATTGAAATATTCTACTTTGTTGAAATTTATGATCATTAATACTTAATTATCAAATAAGCTTCATTTTCCCATCAGGAAAGTGTCCAGGGAGTGGTGAGAGTGGAGGTGGTAGGCCAGTGATCTTTAGGATTCTTTCCATCATGGCCACTCTGTGATTCATGGGCTAATACAGATCTTTGCATAAAAAAGAAGCCAAAACACATGGCCTGAATGAATGCCTTTGGTGAAGTCAGGGACACAGCCCCAGAGGCACATCCTGGCAGGTCATCTGTCAGGGGGCTATGTCAGCAGCCTGAGAAGCAGTCCATAAAGCTACTGGTTCTGCCCTTTGCTCTGGTCCAATCAAAGAGGAGGCAGCAGTGAGGCCCTTGTGCCAGGATACTCCTGCTTGGCAGGAGAGAGACTGTTGTGCTCTGACCGGGGGCTTAAACAGTTAATGCACCACTGAAGTCACAAATAAACCCTTTGGTTTGAGATCAAAAGCAAAAGTCTAGGAAATTAAAACATTGATGATACGCCTTTCCCCCATCCCCTCCTCTCCATCCCACCCAGGTTGGAAACATTCATACCAGACTTGAAGCTCCTCAGGGCAGCTCTTTAGCAAAATTTTACTCGTTGCAGTGGTAGTCTCAAAAAGAGACGGAGACTAGGGGAAGCTGAGTTCCAGGCCTGGGTTTTCTTCTCATCTACCACGTGACCATTAACACCCAAAGCTCACCCCAGAAACTCTGATTCAAGCAGTCTGGACCAGGCCTGGTTGCCAAGATTATCTACCAGCTCCCCAGGTGAGCCTCTAACACAGCCAGAGCTGAGCACCTCTGGCTTAACCATTGTAAGCTATGGCTCCTTCATCTGTAAAATGAGGACGATGATGACTTTTCAGCATTGTTATGAGAACCAACGAAGGTAGAGAATGGCTGGGAAAGGGGAATACTTACCATCAGATGCAGCTACTTGGTCTGGAAGGATCTTTTGCCTTGCATTGGGTATACAAAGGTCTCGAGGCTCAGTTGTATATAGTTTTGTTCAGCCAACTTCAGTATCAGGAATCTGTCTTGGCTCTGCACTGTGGGCCTGTGTGGGGAGAATCAAGGAAGACCTAATAAGAGTGAGCCAGGAAGCTAGGGCCTGGCTAAAACGAGCATGGAAAAGGGGGCTGCTAGGATTCCAGAACAGCACAAAACAGCTGTCGGAGTCCTGCATGTGGATTCCTCACAAAAACTTCAGTAGGCTTTGGATAGGACGGCCTGAGTGTGACCTAAGCGTGGGAAACAGGAAAGAGACAGTCACCACTGAGCTCACTATCGTGAGTTCTTCTACACGATAGCCTGCCTTGTACTGTCGGTGTATTTTTATCTTTATCTTTAGTTTTATATTTACTTTTTCCTTCTTTTTGCACTCCTTTTTTACTCTGCCTGAACTCACTCTGTAGAGGTCATTTTCTCCCAATGTTTCCTTTTTATTTTTCCTACCTCTAATAAGTGTGAAACTTTGCCATCATTTTTTGATTGTTTCATTCAATTCTTTGTTCATTTTATGGATGAAGGACCCATAGCTTACAATGGTTAAGCCAAGGACACTCAGCTCTTGCTGTATTGGAGACTCACCTGGGGAGCTGGTATATAATCTTGGCAACGACCAAGAAACGACCTAGAAATTATCTCCAAGTGGAGACTCCAGCACCCTTGCATCTGGTAACAAGAGGAGTGGAACTCATTTGTGGTGTCTGGTCAGAGGAAATACTTCGTCAGTCACTGGGGAGCTGGCTGCATTTGTTTCCACATCTTGTTGTTTCAGTGGTAACCAAGTGGTCCTTTGACATAAATAATATTGTATTTCCAAGGAAAGAATAAGAACCAGCATCACCCATTTACCCAGCCACTGTGACGTAAGCCGGCTTGAGTGGAAGTAGGTGGATGGGGCATACAGTGGCATATTTCCATTCACACTTTGATTTATCTGGGATGCCAACCTGTATTCAGTCAACAAGCATTCCCAGGGGGTTGACTTCCTGCTGAGTACTAGAGAGCCAGGGATTATTTGCATTTGAACTGTTCACTGTGCAAGAGAGGCAAATCCACATTACAGCATTGTCAGGGGTCTGAGGACCAGATCTGTTAACCCTGGGCACTGCTTGGAAAAGAGTGACTTCAGGGCAGCGGAAAATCTGGGGAAATGTGCTCAACAGAACTGGGTCTGGATCATGTTTGCATCCTTTTAGGGTCTCACCTAGAAACATCTTAGCCACTATATCTCCAGCCTGCATCTTACAGTATCTTCCCAATGTGCAGTTCTGCCAGAGTCACTGCACTGTGCTGCTCAATTTCACTGGCTCCCGTCATCACCGCTCCCATTTCCACCACAGGGTGGAAGCGCCAGGCATTCACACCTCCACCTCTCCTTGGCTCGACCACCCCCTTTCCCAGCCTCATTTCCCTCTCCATTCCCTCCTGTGCTTCAGCCAGGAACCACTGGCTGTTGTTCTGATGGCCCATCTCCTGTCACACCTGCCTGCCTCCTACAAGTCTGAAATGCTTTCCTTTCTCCATGCCCCCAACCTCCTCATTTTCTTGCCATACTGAACTATTTATTTGCTGTCTGCCCAATATTTCCTTTTATGTCTGTGCTCGAATTATTTCCTTCATTGTACAAATTGTTTCCTCTGCTGGGAGTAGCCTTTCTCCTATCTTTTATCTGTCTGGAGAGATACTTTTGAATCTTTTCAAAATAAATTCCATTGTGGTCTCCTGGGAAAGCCCTCCTCACCCCCAGCAGCTTTCGGCTTCCTCCTGTGGGGCTCTGCTTGCCCCTCTGAGGGTCTCTGCTTCAGTTATGGCACTAGTGTAGGTGGTAAAGCAGGCAGACATAAGGAGTGAGTCTCGGCTCCCTTGGGAAGCCCATGTATTAAAAATTGATTTTTACTTCTCTATTTAGGGCCCTTTTGAGGGCAAGAGAGTATGTCTGGTAACTACAGTGGATTTATCTTTATTTTGATCTTGCCTTTCCCTGGATTTGTTGTCTCCCTCTTTCCTGGATTCAGATTTCATTTCCAGGCTAAGTATGTAAAACAGAAAATCTTTTGCAATTATTTGCCTGACTTTGGAATGTTTTATGCAATTTAGGAGTTAAATGGAGGCTTGCAGAGCAAAGAATCAAAAACACACGGGGCCGACCTGCAGAAATCAGGGAGAAGAGCCAAGGGCGGCCATCGTGAAGCCCTTGGACTCTGTAAATGTAGGTCAGAAAATTGGCTTTGAGTTTTATTATTCAGCCCCACTCCCAGTACACAAAAATCTTTCTGATTTTCTTTATTTTCCACTTACTTTTATGACCAACGATTTCCAAATTTGGAGAAGTCTATTTATTGTTTTTCTATTAACCCGACAATCTCAAAATACAATGAACTGGAAAGAGCCGTGTAAGTTCTAATTATCTGATGTCACTGTAAATCTCTCTTCCGACTTAGACTTATCTCCTCAGCTGTAAAATGAAATTAAACAATAGTCTCCAAGATCTCTCCTCTAGCTTAATTATTTTGACTCATTTCTTTGCTGTGGTGTCACCCTGTAGTAGAATTCAGCCACAATCCATTTGTTTTCTACTAAGTACCACCTATGGGCGTATCTTCTCTGCTGTCCACCTGTTAGCATCTCCTGGACTTGCTGACTTCCTACAACAAATGCTAGGCAATTTAATGAGATATTCAAAGTCTTCTGTAATCTCTTACTAAAGGACATTTTCTGAGTACTAACAGCGTTTTGTCACTACACTGAATACCCAAGGAAAGCTACTTAGAACAGAGGTTATTCAGCTCACGGCTTTTGTGGTTCAGTAGCACTCTGCTGGTATTGGCTCAGTTCTGCTGAGGGCCTTGGCTGTGGCATGATGGCAGAAGACCCTGACAGGAGTACACATGGGAGGAAGTGACAACGTCTCAGAAAGGAAAGCCCAAGAGAGATGCGGAGATCAGGCTGGCGTTGTTAGAGTGGCTTGTTTTTGTGAGAACTCACTCCAGAAGACCATATTCTGTTCCAAAGGGAGCATCCACACTTCCCCAAAGACTCTCCACTGGACCTCTGCTCTTCAACACTCCATGGCACCTCCCAGTGTTATCTCAGTGGCCCACAAGGAGTCCTTGTTTGGTATTGCACAGATTCTGCTTCAAGTCACCTGTTCTGTTTGTGCCTCTTTTGCCACCATTCTTGGTGTTGATGTTTGGACTCTGTTCATTTTCCTGTGCTTTAGGTCTTGTTCTTAATAGAGTTTTGATAGCTCTTTTTGGAATCCAATTAAATTCAGAACTGGAAGTCCCTGCTTGTCCTTCCCCTAATCATAGACTAACCCTCAGCCACAACTCTCCTCCCCATAACTAACCTCCCTCAATCTAGCTGACAGATGCAGCTGAAAACATCTGTTGGTCTGCCCACGGGCTCCCTTGTTCTCCAGCTGGATCTTTGGAAGTGCTTCTCTCCTGCTTGGCCTTTCACTTCTTACCTCTTACTGGATCCATCCTCTGTTATCTTGCCCTTCCTTTCAGCCCTGGGCTGGGTGAATCCCAGGAAGCACACAGCTGGCTATCTGCTGTCATCCACATCTTGCTGAGGCCAGGAACCACCTCCCCTGGTGCTATGGAGCAATGAAGAGACTTCTAAGTTCTTTAGATTTTAGGAAGCCATGCATTATAAGAGCTGCCTTATACAAAGGGCCAAACTTAAAGTTTCTAGAGTCACACCCTTTGAAAAGTTCTTAAAAATATCATATCCTTGCTCAGAAACATAGCTGTCTTATAGAATGCATACTACTTAAAAGGTTTGTGGTCAGATGGATGTGACACTAAATACTAGGGTTTCACATTTCTTTCTCTATTGCCTACTTAGTGCGTCACTGCCTGCATCTTTAAAATGACAATGACGTTACTGTTATCTCCAGACCATCATAAGGACTCACCCAAGTCAGTCATTTCAATGGCCTGGTACAGGGGCTGGGTGTTCTAAGTGACCTACTCTCACCACCATTGTAGCCTCTTTGTATTCTTTGGAAAACAGTCTTTTCCTGGAACTAAAATACAGGTTCCATTGTAAGAAGGACTCTTCAAGTTTGTGGATTGCCTACTGGTGAGAAAAAGTCAGACCAAAATGGGTGCTTGAATGTCAGTCAGATGAGTTCAGGTCTTTGAACTTCCACCTTCCTGTTGCTATGGCTTGTACAGTCATATCCCTCCCCCTACCCTTTATATGTGTAGCCATCTGGTTTTAACATGCTCTTATCAAACTTTTAACCGTAGAGATCTTGGGAGAGCTCTGCCTGAGCATGGCCCTCCGACAGGACTCATATTAGACTAATCTCTACTATGAGGATTTCTAGGTGATTTTACATGACAGAATTTTGTTTAAGTTCTAGAAGATGTGTGTGCATAGTTAACTGTGATTGTTGCTGCTACTGCTAATACTGCTATTACTCTTGCTGCTATTACTACTATTGAAGATATTGAGAACTGCCATAACAGAGTAATTAGGGTGACAGTCATAGAAGTCAGTCTACTACTTCAAAGCCAAGTTCAGTTTTTTTTTTTAATCAGATAATTAGAGTAAGGATATTGGCAGTACCTATTTCATGGCACAAGTCTCAGAATTAATGTGCCAGTGTAGGTGAAGAACTTAGGGAAGTGTTTGGTTAGAGCAAGCACTGTAGAAATTGTGGCTACTGGAATTTTATTTCATATTTATCATTATTATGTACATTAATAACATCTTAAGTTTCAAGGTAAAGAATTTAGTCTTAAAATAATATGCTCTACTAACCCTTCAAATGCCTAGTCCTGTCCCGTGTTATCATTAGAACATGGTATAAAGTTCCTTCTGTAGGCCCTGACCCTCTCAAGTGCAGAACCATGCTCAAGAAATATAGTAGAAGTACAAAAATGTGCTCAAGGATGGATGTTTCCCAAACTTGGAAGGAAGAGATAGTGGCACGTCAGTGGTGCTATATACACTTACAACCAGATAAAAATAGTACTGGAATATCACACTTACTAGATCAGTAAGTTGTGAGTAACATCAAAACATGCAGGAATATTACAGAACAGAAGTTGAATTGACATAATTCTTAGGTAATGTCCTCCAGGTCTCTTGCTGAGAGAACTTCCTTGGGCTCTAGGACACTCAGAGGAGCCAGATCTTTTTTGCTCTGCCCTTGGGGTCTTCTGGGAGAAACATTTGAGAAGTGCTGTGCAACTACACACTGTAAGTGGTGAGAGAAGGTGCCAGGGTCCATGCAAGGCTCTGGAGAATGAGCAGGAGTACTGTAGTCAGTAGGGACAGGAGAGAACAATTGGATCCTAGAGGCATTGCTCTGAAGATCATGGTGGCAGAAGGTAGTGGAGAAAAGGAAGTGAGGGAAAGTAGAGGCAGGTGGACCAGATCAGAGGCTGTTGCAATTGCCAGGAGGATGGTAAAAGTGTCAGATAACCCAGGTATCTCCTCTTGAGCCCATAAGTGCAGTCTGGAGACATAAATGAATGGAGGGGGAGGAGTGAGGACCTTGGGCATTTGGTCACTTTTTCCTGTAATGTACTTTTGCCTTTAGGTCTTGCTTTAGCCCTATCTCCCCTATGTCACTTCTGTTTGATGATGGAGTGCCACTGTGCATGTCCAATTTTATGGTTTGGTGTATCAGACAATGCCCAGTTCATGATGGCCCACTCAGGTCCCATGGTAACACATATCATGATAAGTGTTCAGTCTCTACTAAGGCTTAGTAGAAAGCCACAGCAGTAGCTATGGGGGTTGAGAGAAGGAAAACAATGTGACAGGAGGTAGGCGTGACATCCCATGATAGCATTAAGTCAATGTGTACTGGCCTGGGATGGATGATACCAGAAGGACTGGGGGAAATTTTTCAGGATGGATAATTTTGTAACAAGACCCCATTTGTGTTTTTGTTTTTTAATATGTCAATGAAAGTATGCTAGGCATGGAATGATATTACAGATAGTATTTTAGAAGTCTAGGGAAGGGCAATCATTATAGATCAAACGTGGTGGAGAGCTGGAGATCAGAGAAGCCTTTCGGGGGAGGTGACACTTGGCCTGAGCCTCAAAGGTGCAGCAAGTCTTGGGAGAATGGGAAAGTGTTACAGATTGGGGAAAGACAACGTCCTTACAATAATGCAGCTTTGCTGCTGACTTTGATTCACAGGGGAGGAATTCACCCAAGGCCATCAGCCAACTGGAAGAGCTCAAAGGTCAAGGGCTGTACATGGTTTTGTAGCATTTCTCATTTGTTTGAGCTTAAATGAAGTTGAATTCTTCAGGGAAATGAGCACATGTTAAGGCTCTCTAAAGCCAGAAGGCTTCATAGCCAGGAAACTATGCTGGTCAGATGGATAGTAATACAAATGACTAATGGTTACTGCATCCTCCTAGGTCTCAAGTGGTTTCAGTCCTAAGGATCGGGGCCAAGCAGGAGACAAAACGGCAGGGGCTTCAAGGGGGTGATTACATAAGAGGCGGCCCAAAGTGGTGAGAAGAGTGTCCTTGTGGGATTGGGACAGAGGTCTTCACTGCGGTGACCCTGAGCTTCAGTTTCCTTATTCATGTCTTGGTCTAAATACTAGAGGGCTATGAATTCCTGGCAGCTGTTTAGCCAGAGTTACATCCTAATGATAGGTCCTGAAATCTCACCTCCACCCCTACTTGCTGTTCCTCCAAATACTTTCATTTACAAGTCACTCTGCCTTTGCTGGGTCTAGACTCCAGGGCAGGTCGTCTTGCATAGATTCCTACTTGTCCTTTCGGATCCTAATCATTACTATAGCTGTGCTCTCTACAGGGAAGTTCTGACTCCCAGGGACGGAGCTGGCCACTGTTGCCTTGTTTCTCATAGCACCTGGGAATACCTAATTGTCACAGTTGGAACTTTGTAGAGCAGTGTCAGTAGGATTATCTCTTCTCTTTATCCCATGGACTTCTCCAATATAAGGAAGTCTAATTGGGAGTCTCCTCAGAATTTGCAGCCTTGAACACTGGGCCTGTCTGACAAAGAAGGAATTAATAAGGCACTAACTCTGCAGGGGTACGAAATTTCTCCTAATACAGTTGAGAAGACTAATCGGTCACTTGAGTCTGTGTCAGAGGCCACCAACCTCTTTGTCTGCTTGAAAGTCAACAAATATTTTGCAAGGGCTGCAAACTTCTGGCTATTTTATTTGTTTTTTTTTTTTTTGGTTTTTCTCCGGTACCGGGAATCGAACTCATGACCTTGCACTTGCCAGGCAGGCGCTTTTGCCGCTGAGCTAAATCCCCAGCCCCTTCTGGCTATTTTAGAAGACAGTATTTTCATTGTGTTTTTCCTCAGCCCTTTTCATTCCAGATGGCATATTAGAAAGAGCATAACACACAGGGGTAGACAGATGGGGGTTCAAATCCAAGGTCTACCATTTGACTTTTTTGTTTCCTTAGAAGATCCACCTAAACTCTCTGAGCCATCATTTCTTCATCTGCAAAATTTGGTGATAATATTGACACCCCAAGCGTTACAGTGAGCATCCATTGAAACAGTGTACATTAAAGTAGCAAAGTCAAAAGTTTTACAAAGTACGTTGAACACCTGCTCTGTGCCACTGTGTCATCAGTACCCAGAGGGGCTTCCCTTACAAGTTACTTGGAAACCAGGGGAAGTGGAGTTTTCTCACAGGCAGAAGACTCAGAAGTGGGTGTCCTTTTCTCTTAACCAGACGAGACGACAGCAGAAGAGAATTGCAGATCAGTGGCAAGGATGGGCCAGCACTATGCCTGACAGATGTTCAGCTGGACTTCACTCTGCCCGTCCTGGTGCCGGAAGGCACATCCCTAGAGAAAGGCTTTATTCCCAGGGACCACAGGAGCAGCTGTTCCCAGCTGTGCTCATCAAATATGACTTTGTTCTGTTGTGACAAGCACTGCGTGTGACCGACCACACAGCGAAGTCCCTTCCTTGTGATATTGACATGTGACTTCCCAGACCACCTCTCCCCAGAAGGCCTATACAGTGTGGTTTCATTGACAACACTGAGCTCCAACTCAGCACTAGGCTCTTTGATCTGTATTTGCTTAGTGAATCTTCATCAGCCAAAGTAATGACATTGTTCTGTTGAACACATGAGCACACTGAAGCCAGGAAAACTTTGATACTAGAATTTCCTTGAGCTTTAAAAACTGAATTTTCTTTACCATACCACAGAATGGTAAGATGCATACTTCATGTTCAGAAGAAGACATTGATAACCACATTACAATAATACAAATCAAAGTAATAGCATTGTGTAGGCAGGGCTTCTCAGTGGGGACTAATTTTGCCCCAAGGGAATATTTGATACCCAAAGACATTTGGGGGTGCTACAGTATCTAGTGGGTAGAGACCAAGAATGTTACTAAATATCCTATAATAGATAGGGCAGTTCATCACCCCAAAAATTATCTGGTCCAAGGTACCAATAGTGTGAAGGTTGAGAAGCCCTAAGTGGGTGAGTGTAGTTGCTAAGGACCAGCTTGACGTGGTACAAGCAGGTAATAATTAATATTAATAAATTGGCATAAAAATAAATTTAGAGTCTGTCCTGGTCCCACGTAACTTGCGGTAGGGTCTCTG